TTGATCCCTACACCACACTTAGATACAGTAAATTTTTCAGGGTATTAGAGTTGTACTCTAGTTAGTTTTGAGGATATATATATGATCACTCTCTGAGCCGTGCTTCCCTCCGCTGTCTGCCCATCTATGTCGAATTTATGATCCGAATGAGTGTATAAAACATCCTTTTTTATGGATACGAAATTTTGCTCCGACTACCGATTTGAGGCTACAAGACTAATATGTATTGTACAGTATGTCAATAATGAGTTTACACATGGATTTATTTCAATAACTACTTTTCATTAATGCGACCTAGCCCAAAGAACATGAGAGATTCCAACATCCTCAGTACATAGACTACTTCAAAAGCTTAAAATTAACAGAATATTACTTAATCGCATCAATTTATAAAAAAAGAACCAAATATACAGTATGCCAAAAATGAGTTTACACATGAAACCAAAATGATGTAATAACCGTGGGCTTATAACATCATTTGGAGCAAGCCTTTAAAAACACTATATTGACAGAACATCCTCGCAACAGTAAAATTTGGATAAATGTCAATAATGATTTGGAGGTGCATAACAATCAGAGACATGGAAGGCTTATCTTTTATAGACATCGAAATAAAAAAAATAGTTTTTCAATGTGTAAAGTCATTATTGGCATACTGTATTTTCTGCTGATTCCAACTAAATGGTATACCACATCCCTAATGTTGCTTCGATTACGCATAGAGTGAGCATACGACTTCTTTGCAAATATGAGAGAATTTTGAAGACTCCAGACCAAAGTTCCGTCCTTAACCCTATAGAAAATGTTATGGATCATCTATTTGAAAAAAAGGTTTGTTTTGAAACTGAAACTGCTATTTCTTTTATATTTAATCTCTGTACATATCCAATAGATAATTGTAATAAAGAAACGTTTATTTTTATTACTCCCAAAATTGAAAAAAAAATATTCAAAGTGTAAACTCATTCTTTACATACTGTATATTCTACCTATTCCAACTAAATGGTGCACCATATCCCTTATGTTGCTTCGATTGCGACGATATTTTACAAAGCGTACTAAATTGTGCCTAGAACGAGATTCATGAAGTTTTGTTGAAATCGCTTCCGATTTACATATAGCTCCCATATATATTTTCGGCCGATTTCACCTAAATGATGCACCAAACCTCTAAACGACGTGTTTTAAGTTTTGTTGAAATCGGTTAAGATTTAGATATAGCTCCTATATATAAGTTCGGCCCATTTGATGTAAATGATGTACCATACCCTAATGTTGTTACGATTACGACTATATTTTGCACAGCGTACTAAATTGCGCCTAGAATGACATGCATGAAGTTTTGTTGGAATCGCTTCCGATTTAGATATAGCCCAAAAGATTGTTCGATTGACACGAAATTTGGCACAGAAGATCGAATTGAATCTTTCGACCGATTTCGACTAAATCGATCATCAAATTCTCAAATATTGTCCCATTAGGATGAAAATTTGTACAGCGTATATAATTGAAATTAGAATGACGTGAGCTAAGTTTTTTTAAATATCGGTTCAGATTGAGATATAGCTCCCATGTACATTTTCAAGCGATTTCATTTAAAGTTGGTCTGATTGACACGCAATTTTGCACAATGCATTAAAATAAAGGCCAGAGTGGCGTATTTACAGTTATGTTAATATCGGTTCCGATTTAGATATAACTCCCATATCTATTTTCACATACATATTTCCGATTTCATCAAAATACCCAACGATTGTCCGATTGGGATGACATTTAGAACAACGTACCGAATTAAGTATAGAATGGCGTTATTAAAGCATACTTTGAATCGGCTCATTTTATGATAAAACTTCCTCCATAAATATTTTCGGTCAATTTCATGTAAATGGTGCTCAAAAAGCCAAGCGTTCCTTCGATTAAGACGAAATTTTCACAGAGTATCTAAGGAAGCCTAACATTTTGTATTCTAAGCTCGATTGAGATCAGTTGGAATTTAGATATATATTTTCGTCCGATTTTATGTTAATAAAATGTTAAAAAAATGATTTTTTTGAGGTTAGGATTTTCATGCATTAGTATTTGACAGATCACGTGGGATTTCAGACATGGTGTCAAAGAGAAAGATGCTCAGTATGCTTTGACATTTCATGTAAAACCGTATAAAATACAGCTCGTGCAAGAACTGAAGCCGAACGATCTGCCACAACGTCGAATTTTCAGTGAATGGGTCCCAGAAAAGTTGGCAGAAAATCCGCTTTTTTATCGACAAATTTTGTTCAGCGATGAGGCTCATTTCTGGTTGAATGGCTACGTAAATAAGCAAAATTGCCGCATTTGGAGTGAAGAGCAACCAGAAGCCGTTCAAGAACTGCCCATGCATCCCGAAAAATGCACTGTTTGGTGTGGTTTGTACGCTGGTGGAATCATTGGACCGTATTTTTTCAAAGATGCTGTTGGACGCAACGTTACGGTGAATGGCGATCGCTATCGTTCGATGCTAACAAACTTTTTGTTGCCAAAAATGGAAGAACTGAACTTGGTTGACATGTGGTTTCAACAAGATGGCGCTACATGCCACACAGCTCGCGATTCTATGGCCATTTTGAGGGAAAACTTCGGAGAACAATTCATCTCAAGAAATGGACCGGTAAGTTGGCCACCAAGATCATGCGATTTGACGCCTTTAGACTATTTTTTGTGGGGCTACGTCAAGTCTAAAGTCTACAGAAATAAGCCAGCAACTATTCCAGCTTTGGAAGACAACATTTCCGAAGAAATTCGGGCTATTCCGGCCGAAATGCTCGAAAAAGTTGCCCAAAATTGGACTTTCCGAATGGACCACCTAAGACGCAGCCGCGGTCAACATTTAAATGAAATTATCTTCAAAAAGTAAATGTCATGGACCAATCTAACGTTTCAAATAAAGAACCGATGAGATTTTGCAAATTCTATGCGTTTTTTTTTTAAAAAAAGTTATCAAGCTCTTAACAAATCACTCTTTAGTACACCAAAGTCCCTTAGTATGTCCTATCGAGATGAAGTTTTGAATCTTAGAATTTCCTCATGTGGATATCCAAACTGATGTACGGTATCGTAGAGTCGATCAGGTCCACATTTATTTTCCTTCCCTTACTGATTTTTTTCTGAGTGCATGTGCTCTTCTTTCTGCAGCTGACATCCACTTTAATAGCTGTAACATTGATTTGAAAATCCTCTTCTCTCATTTCCTCCCCGAAGAGGAAGACTTAAGGCAAACACCTTAATGCAGTTATTGTGTGTGAGAAGCTTACATTGCCGGTTCTATTAACAATCTATGAGAGAGAGAGAGAGAGAGAGAGTGTGTGTGTGAATGTGAAAAAATGCTACGGCTATTAAGGACTTTTACTTTTTTTTGCAACACAACAAAACAAAAGCATAACAGTAGATGAAGAGCTAAGCGCCGGTGCTGGCATGCATGTCGTTGTTAGCTTGATATTCTATAACCTATTTGTCTGACATTCAATTCAATGGAAGGTCTTTTTCTTTACTTCTCTTCTCCCTCTTTGAACTGCAATACATTTCACAAGCTATTGTTGTTGTATTCTTCACAAAACAGGTGCATTTGATTGCCAAAGGGAGAGGAGGCAAGTGGAGGTTGGAAACATATAAAATCCTCAAATTGCTGGCATTCTTATTATTTGCTACTTTCCTGCATTTCAAGTGGGCCTCCTTCAACGTTCTCTGACAGGTGCTTCTTCATTGTTTGTTTTTCCTGTTGGGCTTTCCTTGCAATTGTTGTTGTTTTTTCGTTGTTCTTTCGTCCTTAGTTTATGCCAGTGTTAAAAACTCTACATTATAACTCTTTTAACCTGAATTTTTCTTTTCTTCTTATCTAAATAGAACAATGAACACATAGCCTGGCAGGGTTATTCTATTTGTGAATTGTTTTCCTCAATTACGGGAGGTTGAATGGGGGAGGAGAGGGTGGAAGGCCTTTTGCAAGTGATTTATAATAAAATTTCTCTAATGAATACTTTGAATTTTAAAAGATTTTTATGGCTTAGGGATATTAACGGGCATAAACTTTAATAATTAGATAAGAGGACTACCAAAGGCGTGGATTTTTCAAGGACTACCAAAGGCGTGGATCTTTAAAAGAATATTTTTTCAAGGACTACCAAAGCCGTGGATTTTTAAAAGAATATTTTTTCAAGGACTACCAAAGCCGTGGATTTTTAAAAGAATATTTTTTCAAGGACTACCAAAGGCATGGATTTTTAAAAGAATATTTTTTTAAGGACTACCAAAGGCGTGGATTTTTAAAAGAATATTTTTTCAAGGACTACCAAAGGCGTGGATTTTTAAAAGAATATTTTTTCAAGGATTACCAAAGGCGTGGATTTTTAAAAGAATATTTTTTCAAGGACTACCAAAGGCGTGGATTTTTAAAAGAATATTTTTTCAAGGACTACCAAAGGCGTGGATTCTTAAAAGAATATTTTTTCAAGGACTACCAAAGGCGTGGATTTTTAAAAGAATATTTTTTCAAGGATTACCAAAGGCGTGGATTTTTAAAAGAATATTTTTTCAAGGACTACCAAAGGCGTGGATTTTTAAAAGAATATTTTTTCAAGGACTACCAAAGGCGTGGATTTTTTAAAGAATATTTTTTCAAGGACTACCAAAGGCGTGGATTTTTTAAAGAATATTTTTTCAAGGACTACCAAAGGCGTGGATTTTTTAAAGAATATTTTTTCAAGGACTACCAAAGGCGTGGATTTTTTAAAGAATATTTTTTCAAGGTCTACCAAAGGCGTGGATTTTTAAAAGAATATTTTTTCAAGGACTACCAAAGGCGTGGATTTTTAAAAGAATATTTTTTCAAGGACTACTACAAAAGCGTGGATTTTAAAATCAATATAAGAATTTTTATCCTTTTTTTCAATAGATTATTAATGTAAATAATTTTAATTGAGCAACCCTTCTAATAATTATTATTTTTTTTTTAATTTCTTTTACAGATATTCCAGACATTCCCGATGACATCAAACACTTGAAAAGTTTACAAGTGGCTGATTTCAGTTCAAATCCAATTCCAAAATTACCCGCTGGCTTTTCACAATTAAAAAACTTAACAGTTTTAGGTTTAAATGATATGTCACTCACAACATTACCGGCAGACTTTGGATGGTAAGTTTGAAAAAACAAATTAGAAACCAATGTTCAAAATAAACGAATAGAAAAAAATGAATATTAAGAAATAAAATCGGGTATATACCGCGTTGGGCGCCAATCAATGGAATATTACTACAATATTAATCAAAAAATGACATAATGTTATATTCGAATTAATATAATATAATAATCAAATATAAAGCTTTAGAAATTGAAGAAAAGAAAATAAAAAAAATTTAAATGAAATTGGCGCCCAACGTATGGAATTCTATACGCAATGATTATGTATATTGAATAATTATGTTTTTATTGGTCGTTAAAATATTATTGTACAAAGACTTGTTTTACAAAATTTATATTTAATTTACGGATCCAACGGAAAATAACATGCCTTATGTTGGGCGCCACCTAACACCCATAAGACAACTCTTTAAAAATAATGAAAAGAAATTTCGAATGTTGCATTCATAAATAAAAAGTATCAAATAAATAAATATTGCATGGGTCCAACGTTGGGCGCCATTCAATAATATGTCGACCTATGTTATATTTTGAAATATACATCATTTTATTTGAAATTTCCAATACCAGGGTAGAAAAATTAAATATACACGGACCCCACGTTGGGCGCCATTCAATAATATAGCATAACTGTTTAAGTATATATAAATTTATTTGAGCAATCTAGTCGGACAAGGCCGACCATTTGATACCCTACACAACTACCACTGAGCTTTCTGTTGTTGCCGATCTATATTTCAAGCTTGGGCAATATTTAACCATATTTGCACTCTCTTGACCGATTAGAAGTCCACAGGTTCTCTGTTTGACAGCCTTTGGGAATCATATTCTCCCGGATTAAAAAATACTCCATAAGATTCAAATTTTATTATTTTACACAACAAGTTTTGGATCATTTGACCCGCTACATATTAATCGTTCAGTAAGACATTCTAATTAGTTGGTCAGATCGCATGGAAAATTTGTGATGTTCGGTTTGTAATTGTAGAGCGACTAGAACACCCGACAAAAATAAAGTTCTGATCATCGTTGTCTGTAAGCAGAACCTCCAGCAAAATTTCCTAGCCCTTATCGCTACGTTCCGCCCTCTAGTGTGATATTGATAGCACTAAACAATATCCGAATATGTAGACACCTCTAGAACATTTAGTACCAATTTGAATATACCACCAACTTTTCGGGTCTATGTCCTTCAGGAGTAAATAGGTACGCCATAGAATGCAAAATTTTGTTATTTTTCACACAAAAGTCTGGTTCTGTCTGACCCCCTAAATATTTACCGATCATCATGAAAACAGCAACACACAACATATTAGTGTAGGGTATAATGATAAAATATATAAAAATAGCAAGGGTCCCACGTTGGGCGCCATTCATTATTCCACTTGAACATTTGAAACATACATTATTATATTTGAAGTTTTTAAACACAAAGATGCATTCATAAAAATAAGGGTTAAATTTTTAAATAAAAATTAATGAAAAAATAAAAAAATGCATAGCCCAGCGTTGGGCGCCACTAAATATTATACTAGCATAATTGAACCATACCTATATTATATTAGTTGAAATTTAGAATTTAAGAATCTAAAAATATAAAATATATAAGATAATTTTATTGAAATGAAAATGGCGCCCAACGTGGAGTGGCATTTATTTTTATTAAATACCAAATATTTCATTTTTTAACTTTAATTTTATTTTTTCTTATTTTGTCCTCTTTCGAATGCCTCATGTTGGGCGCCATTTAATACTCGAACTATTAGACAACCCATTAATAATAATTTAAAAGGAATTTGAATGTTGCATTGCAAAAATATAAAAAAGTCAAATATTGTAAAATTGCACGAGTCCAACGTTGGGCGCCATTTAATAAAATACTTGGTAATTTCAAACACACGTTATTTTGTTTGAAGTTTCGAATACAAGGATACATAAACTAAAATAAGAGTAAATAAAAATTAATGAAGAAATAAAAAATATACTAGCACAATTGAAGAATATATTATTTTATGTGAAGATTTGAAGTTAAGGATCCAAATATAAAAACATAAATGTAAAATAATTTTTTGGAATTGAAAATGGCGCCCAACGTGGTGCGTTTAATTTTATCAAATACCAAATATTTATAAGTTAATTTTTTCTTCTTTTGGATGCCTCATGTTGGCCGCCATTTAATACTCAAACTGTGAGACAAACCGCAAAAAATAATTAAAAGGAATTCGAATATTGCATTCATAAATAAAAATTAAAAAAAAATGTTATTTGTATAAACATTACACGAGTCCAACGTTGGGCGCCATTTAATAACATACTTGGAAATTTCAAACATACGTCATTAAGTTTCGAATACATTAACGTACATAAACTAAAATAAGAGTTAATGAAATTTATGAATATATTATTCTACGTAAAGTTTAGGATTAAAAATAAAAAGAAATATATATTTTTTATTAAAATGAAAATGGCGCCCAACGTGGGACATTTTTTATTAAATACCAAATATTTCATTTATTTCCATTTTCTTTTTAAATTTTATTTTAATTTACTTAATATTTTATTTTTTCCTCTTTCTAGCCTTACACAATTGGAATCATTGGAACTGCGTGAAAATCTATTGAAACATTTACCCGAATCCATTAGTAAATTAACAAAACTGAAACGCCTTGATTTGGGCGATAATGAAATCGAACAACTGCCACCATATTTGGGTTATTTGCCCGCACTGCAAGAACTATGGTTAGATCATAATCAATTACAAAAATTGCCGCCAGAATTGGGTCTGCTAAGCAATCTGACCTATTTGGATGTATCGGAAAATCGCCTCGAAGAGGTGCCCAATGAGATAAGTGGTTTGGTAAATTTAACCGATTTAGATTTGGCCCAAAATCTATTGGAATTTTTGCCCGATGGCATTGCCAAACTGCATCGCCTAACCATCTTGAAATTGGACCAAAATCGTTTACAAAGACTCAATACAAATATTGGAGAGTGAGTTTCAAAATCAAAATGAATTAATTTATTTGAAATATTAATTTTCATTTTTGTTGTTGTAATTTCTTCCTCTCTTTGTAGCTGCGAAAACATGCAAGAACTTATACTCACCGAAAACTTCCTATCCGAATTGCCAGCCTCCATTGGCCAAATGACCAAATTAAGCAATTTAAATGTCGATCGCAATGCCCTCGAATATCTCCCCATCGAGATTGGCAATTGCACCAGTCTGGGTGTCCTCAGTCTGCGCGATAACAAATTGAAAAAATTGCCACCAGAGTTGGGTAATTGCAGTGTTCTGCACGTGTTAGATGTCTCGGGAAATCAATTGCAATATCTGCCATATTCCCTGGTGAATTTACAATTGAAAGCCGTTTGGTTGTCGGAAAATCAAGCCCAGCCATTGTTGACATTCCAGCCGGATACAGATGAGGAGACTGGCGAACAGGTATGTATCGATGGACGTATGAGTGGCTATTATTGTTTGGTTTTTTGCATTTCATTCGTTCATTCATGTTCCTGCATTTAAATGTGTTAGACAAGAGGAAGTCGAATGTAGGGATTACATTTCTTGGCATGATAGAAAGTTTGGAGAAAATTTGATTTGTTAAAAAAAAAGTTTCAATTTTGCGAAATTTTTTCTAGACAAAAGTTCGACCTCAGTTCAGGCCGGAATTTTTTCTATACAAACAAGTTCTCCCTCAGTGCAGGTAGGATTTTTTCTATAGAAAAAGGTGCAACCATAGTTGAGAGCGTATTATTTTCCTATAGAAAAAAGTACGACATCCGTTGAAGGCGGATTTTCCCTATGGAAAAAAAGTTTGGCCTCAGTTGAGGGCAGAATTTTTTCCGGTTGGAAAAATTTCGAACTCAGTTGAGGGCGGATTTCTCCCCTATAGGAATAAGTTTGTCCTCAGTTGAGAGCGAATGTTTTTTCCTATAGAAAAAAGTTCCATAAAAAATTCTCCCTTAACTAAGGTGGATTCAGCCTCCATGAAGAAACATCAGACAACGGCAATAGTTTGATTGAATTCATGGCAGCAAAAAACTTGGTAGTTAGCAGCACCAGATTCAAGCATCTCGATATACAGAAGGCCACTTGGATTTCTCCCGATCGAACAACGAGAAATCAAATCGATGATGTTGTGACAGACTGAAGGCATTCGTCCAGTGTTTTAGACATACGATCGATCAGAGGAGCGAATAACGATTCGGATCATTACCCTGTGGTAGCCAAGGTACGCACCCGTCTTAATGTAGCAGCAAAGGTGCGATCTAATGTAACACGGAAATTTGACGTCGAAAAGCAAAACACAAGAGGTAGCAGAAGCCTACTCCGCGCAACTGCTTGACGAAAGCACTCCTTATCCCGATAATATTATAGAATCGCAATGGCAGAGAATTGCCCACTGCCAACAAACTGCAGCTAAAGCAACACTTGGGTACCAAAAACCACCATCAAGGAACTCATGCTACTACCAGAAGTGTCGTAATGCTACTGATATGATAAACGCAACGTATAGGGCAACCCTGCTGACAGTAGCAACGCGTAATGCGATGGAGAACTATCGGGAGAAAAGGAGAGAAGAGAAACATATTTTCAGAAAAAAAAGAAGAAAGAACAAGAAAATCGTGATCGTGAGTAAATCGAGATGAACAGGGGTCAGAATAGTCCGAAAATTCTACCAACGGGTAAAACACCAAACCGAAGGCTTTGGTGCAGGCACATCCTCCTGTAGAGACAGATACAGACATCGTGGTGAGGATCTGGAAGGAGCATTTTGAAAAACTTCTGGTATCAAATAATAGCGGTGAAGAGGATATCCCAGAACCAATAATAGTTGACGGTATAGAGTGCATACCACCTAGCCAAGTTGAGGTCAGAATAGCAATCAATCGGCTGAAGAATAATAAAGCAGAAGGTGCCGATGAGTTACAAGTCGAACTATTCAAGACTGGTGATCAGATGCAATTTGGCTAGAAGAATGCATGTCAAATGATTGGATCCTCAGCATCCTATGTCCCGTGCACAAAAAAGCAGACAAGACGATATGTGCCCACTATAGAGGAATAAGTCTCCTACCCATCGCATATAAAGTGCTATCCAGCGTACTGTGTGAACTGTGTGAAGCCAAAGGTCAATGACATCATTGGACCATCCAAATACGGCTTCAGACCTGGCAAATCCACCATTGACCAGATTTTCACCCACGAAAAACACATCGACACATTCTACCTAATCGTCGAATATAAAGCCGCATTCGACAACCCTATCCGTTCAGAGGTGTATAAAGCCATGTCTGCGTTTGGCATTCCTGCAAAATTTATACGTCTATGCAGGATAACTTTAACAGGCACAAAATCAGCAGTTAAAGTCGGAAAGACCCCTGGGAGCCCTTTAATGCCGAACGAGGATTCATACAAGGTGACAGTTTGTCGTGTGATCTTTTTAACATCCTGCTGGAAAAAGTCATACGAGAGGCAAAATTGAACAGAAATGGCACTCTGTACACCAAACAACACATGTTACTCGCCTACGCCGATGACATCGACATAATGGGTCGAACACTGATAGCGGTAACAGCCAGCTTTGAACAAATTGAGAAGGAGTCTGCCAAAGTGGGTCTGGCAGTAAACGGTGAGAAGACCAAGCTGATGGTATCAACGCGCAAGACGTCCAGTAGACTCGGACCAACTGTTGAACTTGAGAACTACAGCTTCGAGGTAGTCAAATATTTTATATACCTTGGTACCGCCGTAAACAAAACGAATGACATCAGTTTTTAAATTCGGAGAAGGATAGTGATGGCCAACCGATTCTACTATGGTCTGAGCAAACAACTCAAAAGCAAGGCCACCTCCCGCCAAACCAAACTCACCCTCTACAAGACGCTGATACTACCTGTGCTGTTATGTGAGTCTGAAGCATGGATACTTGCGCAAGCAGATGAGGCAGCTCTTGGAGTGTTTGAGAGAAAAATTCTCCGAAAGATCTATGGGCCGATCTGCGTCAACGGTGAATATCGACGTCGAATGAACCATGAGTTGAACCATCTATTCTCGGACGTCGACATAATTAGACGTATTGAGCTGCAGCGACTACATTGGCTAGGTCATATTGTGAGAATGGATGAAGATGCCCCAGCCCAGAAGGCATATAAAAGCGAACCAGCTGATGGTTCACGTATAAGGGAAAGGCCACGAATAAGATGGGAAGATCAAGTAGAAGACAACATTGCCGAATATGGTATTTCAAATTGGAAAAACAAAAGACCGATGCGCCTGGAAATCTTTTTTAAGCTCGGCTTATGGAACGAAAGTTCTGTCACAAGCAAGCTAAGTAAGTAGTAACTAAGGTGGATCTCATTTGAAGGAGGATGTTTTTCTATTGACTCTCCCTATACGAGGGAACATTTTTTTGTTGAGGGAACATTTGTTTTCATAGAAAAAAGATTGACCTCAGTTCAGGTAGAATATTTTTCTATAGCAAACAAATTGACCTATTTTCATTGAAGTGTTCGTTTTTTCTATCACGCCAATTTGTTTATAGCCTAACCTCCTATTTCCTCTTTGTTTATTTTTTGTCGATTTGTTTATACCAATAACAACAACAACGACAATAAATTCCTATTTGTTTTACTAATCACACTACCAGTTTTTTATTACTAAAATAAATATCTTGAAATTTTTTTCAATTTTTTATTTGATATACCAATATATGTGTCATCATCATTAACCAATTTGTTTGTTTTTTTTTTCACTATTAGGTCTTGACATGTTATCTACTGCCACAACAGGAATATCAACCCATTGCACCCGGTATGTATATTTCAAATCTTTTGTTTTATTAAAAATAAAAAAAAAATAATAATAAATAAATAAAAATTGTTGAGGCTCAAATAGGGCAAATATTTGGTAGTAATTTAGACCACAATTTAATTTTTTTGGTATCTGAGCTTCTCTCCCAATTCTTTTTGACCCAAAATAATAACCTAAAAGAGCATTGCATTGCATATCTTGAACTTTTATTTATTCTCAACACCAACCTCTCCCATTTCCGAATATGGGAGAGTATTTAACAATCGATCAACAACCCGATTAAAATCGTTTTTGTTTTCTTTTTTTTGTGATTGCATCATTGCCCTGTGCGCCGCCAGCTACCACCACCACTATTAACTTTGTGTTGTAGTTTTGAAATCTTATCTTCAAAACGTAATCAAGAAATCTATATTTTTTATTTCTGAATGGACACACAATTCCATTGACGATTTTATCGATCGCCACCATATCAATGTTGTATCTGATTTGTTATCGTTGTTGTTAATTTTTCGTTTTTTTTTTTTTTTGTTTCATCGCTTCGAACTTCTGCTGACCAAAGCTATTTTTTAACAATTCTAGGTGTGGTGGATCAGTTTCGTATTTATTTTTTTTGTGTTTGTGTGTGTGTGTTTTTTTTATCGAAAACGAAACTCATTTGCGACCATTCAACATTTATGTTGCCAAACAGACACATCATACCTTCAGTTATTCCAAAGTGGGGTATTATTTACCGAATGAGGAAGAACTCCGTAAGGTGAATGATAAATGATATGATTTGTTGTCGCCGTGCCGTCGAATTATGTGAATGTGAAACTTTTGAAAATTAATTCCATTATAATACCTAACGAATGGGAAATGTAAAAAATTAAACCTCAACTAATGATAGGCACTGTTACTGGGGACTTATTTCGTTATTAAATCAATATTTGTTTCTATAAAAAATCGAACAAAAACGGGCCTCGAGTCCGTTTTTTTATAAATCAGATTTTCTGGGTTTTTTGAAATATTTTTTTTTTTTATAGAAAAAACAAATCGGACCTCAGTTCTCATTGAAGTATTTTTTCTATAGAAAATATTTGGACGTCACTGGGTTATTTTTTTCTATAGGAAAAATTTCAGACCTCAGTTTTGCGAATTTTTTCTATAGGAAAAATACCTCAGTACTCACTGAGGTATGTTTTTTCTATAGAAAAAAATTTGGACCTAGTTCTTACTGAGGTATTTTTTTATAGAAAAAACTCGGACATCACTGAGTTATTCTTTTTCTATAGAAAAAAATTCAGACCTCAGTTCTCACTGAGGTTTTTTTCTATAGGAAAAAAATCAGACCTTGGTTCACTGAGGCATTTTTTCTATAGAAATAAATTCAGAACTCAGTTTTAGAAGTATTTTTTTCTATATTAAAAATTGGACCTCAGTTTCGGAGGAATTTTTTTTCTATGGAAACAATCGTACCACTGTTACTGAGGTATTTTTTCTATATAAATAAATTTACCTCTGTGTATGAATCTGAAAAAAATCTGACCTCAGTATCTGAGATTGTTTTTTCTATAGAAAACATTGGATTTTTTATCCTTATCAGACCTATATTTCTGATGTATTTTTTTTTTCTATAGAAAATAATCTGATTTTAGTTTCTGAGGTATTTTTGTATAGAAAACCAGTAAGGAAAGTAGTAAAGTCGGACTATATGATACCCTTCACCAATTTGGGGATACGGACGAAAATATATATGGGAGCTATATATAAATCTGACCCGATTTTCTCGAAACTTGGCACACATCATTCTTGACCTAATTCAGTACTTTATGCCAAATTGCATGCATATCGAAAGATATATAGGGACTTTGGTGCACCATTTACCTTAAATCGGACGAAAATATATAGAAAAAAATGCCTCTAAGTCTGAACCGATTTTTCCTAATTTCAATAGGGTTCGTCCTTAGGCCAAATAAGTGACTTGTGCCAAATTTCATCCAAATTGGATCATAAATGCGACCTGTACTTTGTTTACAATTTAACATCTACAGACTGACGGACATACATAAATCGACTCAGAAAGTGATTCTATGCATATTCTCGTTTCTCTTTGTCTGTTATAAACATATGCACAAAGACATAATACCCTGTACCACAGTGTGGTGAAGGTTATACAAATTGGACCTCAGTCTCTGAGGTGTTTTCTTCTACAGAAAAACTCAGACCTCAGTTACTGAGTTATTTTTTTTTGTTCAATAGGAAACAATCTGACATCAGTTATTGGGCTTTTTTTCCTGTAGACAAAATTGGACCTCTTTTATGGGGTATTTTTCTGTATAAACAATCAGATCTGAGGTGTTCCTGAGGTATATAGATAAAAGTCTGATCTCAGTTTCTGGGATTGTTATTTCTATTAAAAAAATCGAAAATTTGTTTTCTATAGAATAAAATAAAATCTGACCCATTCACTGATTAGACCTATATTTCTGATGTATTTTTTCTATAGAAAAAAATCTGATTTCAGTTTCTGAGGTACTTCTTTATAGAAAAAAGTCAGATCAAAAGTCAGTCTTCTATAGCTAAATCTGACCTCAGTTACTGATGTAGTTTTTTATAGAAAAAATCTTATCTCAGTATTTTACATCAGTTTCTAATGCATTTTTTTAAGAAAAAAATTAGACCTTAATTTCTGAGGTATATTTTTCTATAGAAAAAATATGACCTCTGTTTCTGTGGTATTTTTTTTCATATACAAAAAAAAATCTAACCTCAGTTTCTTAGTTTTTTTATAGAAAACAATCATAACTAAGTTGTTAAGTTTTATTTATCAAAAAAAAAAAAAAAAATCGGAACTCAGTTTCTGAAGTATTTTTTCTATGGGAAAAACGGTCCTCAGTTAATGAGGTATTTTATTATAGAAAAAACCTGCATTCGATTTCTAAGGTGTTTTGTCCATGGAAAAATATCGCAATTCAGACATTTTTTTCAATGAAAAGTTGTTGATTGTTTTTTTTTTAAATTGGCCTCAGTTACTGAGGCATGTTTTTCTTCGTATAACTCTTCTAGAGAAAGAAGGATACCCCCCATTCTTTAATTAATAACGTACAGTTTTATCAAAATATTGTTTTTTTTTAATAAAAATAATTTTTTTGTTAAATATAACCCGGTTTCCTAGAAAAATAAAATCATATTTTCACACCTCAACAATTTTTTTTAATGGAAACCTAAATGCATGCTACCGGACGGGGGATGATTGTTTGGTTACCTTTTATGTACCATCATCGTATATGTCTTTGAGAGCCCAGACAAAGAAAAAAGTCGAACAACCATCTAACCAAGTGTTAAAATTGTGTTCATCTCGCACAGTTCAGCCATGGCAACAACTATTGCCCAATATCACATAGACATCTGACTGAGTGCTAGTTACGGAGTCGTTTATGTCGCCATGGTAATGCTAAAAGCGAATGAGATAGCCAAGATAGGAAGGTGCATTAGCTGGTGTTGCTTAAAATCGACAACAACAAATACACGAGAAAAAAACCACTGAACGTTAGAAAGAAAACAGGTTAAACAAAAATGGTAAACGCAGTCATGTCAAGCCAAAAAGAAACACAGGAGAGGGGGTAGGGAGTACTGCAGCACCACCATTTACCAAGCTGAGAACTAAAGTGGTGCGGTGGTACACTATACAATGTTGACATTTTATGTTTTTTCAATTAACCCATCTTTTGCTCTGGTGTTTTTGTTGTTGGTGTTCCCAGAGCTAGTCTCAGCTTGTTAGTTTTAACTAGTGAACTTCCCCCGAAAAAAAAGCCAGGCCATAGATGAAATATATGTGGCAATTAAATAAAACTATTTTTGGAATTTGTTGGTTGTTTGTGTGTGTGTTTTTTCGGTGGCGGTGAATATTATTTTCCAGAGAATAGCAATGCATGTGATAACGTTTCTCTCTAACATGCTGATACTGGCTGGCTGGATGGATGAATGGGTAGCTTGCAGTTAGTTTTCGTTTGGTTCCCATGAGGATTTTTTTGAAAAAGAAAAAAATACAAGTGTCATCGGTTTTGTTTTCATAGCAAAGCTGTGCAGCAAACACCACCAACAGGTGGTGTTAATAGTTTTATGTCTGTTTTTTGTTTCTTTTTTTAATTTTTAGCCTTTAATAGAAATGTTGAGGTTTTTTTATGAAAATGAATCTAAATTTATTTTCTGAATTTCTTGAGTATTTCTGAGAATGTGCTGCCATCTGACATTCCATGCATTTCGCATATTATGAGGAATATTTTGGGTTTTTTTTCCTTAGGAAAACTTCAAAGAAATTCCATTGGAGAATAAACGAGTGGTAGATTTTATTATAATACAAATAATTCCCACATGGAAAAAAATAAATCATTATGGTTTAGTTTTTTAATTTGATTTTGATAAACACAAAAAAATAAAAAAAAATACATTTTATTGCCACATAAAAATTTAATTAAATCAAATAATGATAGAAAAACTATAATCAAAAATGAGAATATTTCAAAAAAAAAGTTTTTTCTAAAGACAAAAAATCGAAAAATAATATTTATTATTTGGAAAGAAACCATCCCTTCTTTGAATTTGAAATTTTTAAAATCTTTACCCTTAACCCGAGCTGAACTAGCGTGACCATACGGTCACACTCATAATGCGATCAATAAATCATGTAAAAAACCTGTAGCACCTAGCAGTGCTAGTGTGAACATACGGCCACAGCCCAAAAATTGATCCTGTCGATTATCCTGATGAGAAAAAAGGATGCAAATCAAATTGTTGCATTAAATAGCTCACAATGAAGAGACGCTGAAAGTTTCGTTCCACAATTCGAAAAAAATAATTACAGCACTATTCGGGTTAATGTGAGATAAATAATATAATGAGCTGACCGACCAGTCTCGTCTTTATTATCCCAGGTTTGATAAAAATATTACGACATGCAACATTTGGATCAAATCGAACACACCATTTTAAGTCACTGACAATCTAATTTTTTTCACAGA